CGAGTGCTAATTTGAAGACCTCATCTTTTCTTTTTTTGGATATCAATACCAAACCAACAGACCACTCAAACCTTTTTGGTATATGAAAAATCTTCTTGTAACTCATAAAGTTATGAAAATGCATTTGACATTCTCAGAGAGTCAAGAGCATTACTCACTTGCATCAAATTTTCATGAAGCTCTCAAGAAAATGACGCAAACAAAGAGTTTTTTTTTTTTTAAATTTCAAATGGTAAAAACTTCTCACAGAGATTCACTAACGGTGATCTTACAAAAAAACAATGTCATAAAAGTTTGAAGATCGCAAGCTAGAAAGCAATTGTTTTAGCTTCTCAATCGCAAAGCCATGAATTTCCCTGCGAGGCATCTATCGTGAAGATTCCGGAAAACCACTTCTCCGTTTTCGCGAAAGTGGGAATACGGGATTTCGTAAAGCACTTCGAATCCCATCTGAAGTAAAAAGTGATTCTTAGGTTATAAATGAACATTCCAGTAGCCGACTAACGCTTGCTAAAATATTTGCAGAAGCACAAGCAGTTGCACAACTCGCTATCCACTGGCAGCCTTCACTCCGAGCTTTGTCAATTGAGATTCGCAAAAGCTTTTTACCCAAACCCTGCCTGCAATAAATTCGATTTGATTATGTTGATATGTCTTTCCGAAGACATTGTGAATTACCTCCTGTAGTCCTTGTGAACCCCTAAAACATCTACATTGAACACTTTACTTTCAATGCCGAGTAGTCGTTTTTGATGAAGTTCGAGTGTTGTCACGTAAGTAAACAATTGATTTGACTTGTGTTGTTTATAAGGACCTTTGCGGATCTCTAAAAAAATTGCTCTCCGAATTTTGTTTTGTAAAAGTAAAAATGTGTTTCTAAACTTTCTGCATAGTCATGGTGCTCAGTATCAACATCGGGCAGATCCCCTGGATCTCCTTCATTCTGCATTCTGAGAGAGCACAATGACAAACCGATTAACCTAGAAAATACTGGGATGTGATATTCAATCGAAATTTGACAATACTGGCTCGCAAAACGCTTACTTACTTACTCTCATCATACACAACAGTGGAGTACTTTCCATGAGTGCCGTTTCTTGCCAGATCATAGAAGAAATCATAGATATCGTTCCGAGTCACTCCTGTTATAAAATCGCAACGATTTAGACTTGTTTTCGACTACTCTTTAGAATAAGCACCAACCTAAGGACTTCGAGATTGGTTCGTCTTTGCGGAATTCTTCAATCAGATATTGTAATATATCCTTTGCATGTTTTCGTGAGGCAACATCAAAACGTAAAGTTTCTGACAACTACAGTAAGTGCTTGAGGGAAAAAATCTTGCGATAATATCTCAATTAAAGAACTTGCTTCCGTAATCAATTTTGTTGCAAATAAATTAACATCAACTACATTTTTCTAAACCTTCAACCTAATATTCAAAACATGGCAAATTTTTGAGCCCTTTTTGTATTTTTTTCTCAGGAGTTTGCATTCATGGAGGAGATTGCTTGAAGAAAGGTATCATTAGACCTTCATCCATTTTCATATATCGTATATTTCCAAAATACTCTCGTAGAAGAGCGCTCTCTGTTTCTTATTTCTTATATCCTAATTGCGTTGGTTTCGATATAAATTGATCAGAAAAACTTGCTATGAAGCCGAGTCTTTGCTTTACTCGGTTGATAGTGGACAGGAAGTAGTTTTCGCAACCAACTGAATGACACGTATGTCATCTGAAATTGGCCACCTCTAACTTTAGTACTATTCGAGTAACTGTTTATGATTGAAAAGATTGGCAAAACTGTAGCCGTCAATCATTCCTCTTCTTTCTACTACATATAAATCGATTTGCACATGCAAATCGACCAACGTGGACTCGAAATAGTTCACGAGCCAATTGAAGAAATATTAATCAGTCAGCAACATTTGAAAGTCGATCGATATAGTAAATCCTAGCGCTATCGCTCTAAACGTTGAGCACAT